ATTATATGATATATTATCATGTTATTATTGTAGGTGCTAAGAAGGATCGTATCGAGAACACATACGAGGCGATATGGACAGCGCTTATGGTAACTACATATTGCTATTACTTTTTATTTATTAATAATTAGTATTTGATATTAAATTATCTTTCCTAAATGTGTATGTAAATCTACAGGACTGCTTCTGCCTTGAGGACTTTGAGGGGGCTTGGAATTATGTGTTCAATGTTAAGGTTGAAGTAGTTCTCAAACAATGGAGGCATGAGATCAAACATGAAACCTATGACAGGTATGAGGAGGACTGGCAGAGGTTTTTAAACCTCGACGCCCGAGTTGACGAGGTTCATTTCACAGCTCTCCTCATGTATTGGGACAGCGATGCCTCCAAGGTTAGTTTCATGAAAATTACTTTATACTTTTAAGATATTAATTTATTGCATATTTGCTAATTTTTTTCTTTTAAAAAAGAATAAATCCACGAAGGGGTCAGAAAATAGAAGAAAGAAGCTGCATGACCACCACTTGGGCTCACACTCCTATGCCAATCTGGAGGATGTTTATTGTCAGGATACGGTAGATTTCCGTCTAAAGTTTTGATGAATTTAATGATTAGTATGATTATGAGTGTGATAATATATAATATGACAGGGAAAATCATTAATGCCAATACACTTGAGGGCGAAAGCGGCGTATGGCATTTTCCGTGATAGATATAGGGGTGATGAGAAGAATCGAGATAAGATCAAGGCAAATCTCGAGTTGGTGGTGAGAGTTATACATATCTTGTGTAGTATTATTAATTCTATTTTGTTGTTAATATTATGAGGAAATGAGAACACAAATAACATTGTCTTTACCATGAATTAATTATATATTTGTGCTTTAGGAGGGATTTGAGGCTGCATCAAAGGAGGCTGCAACTGTGTATATGTCGCAGCAGGAGGAACAATCTGAGCCGGACCCTCACATGCTTTCTGCAGAGGACAACATTACTCTCACACAGCATTTGATGGGTCATAATAGGTATGGATGTAGAAAATTTGAATCAATTTGAATACTACATTCCTATTTATATTTTTTTATCATTATTGAATTCGAGATTAAAATTTAATATTTATTTCTCCCTAAACATAGGAGAGGGAGATATCCTCTGCATGGTGTTGGAGCTTCACCCGGCGTAAGCATGAGGTCATCCACAGCATCCTCCACACCATTTACATCCATGAGAGCAGCCCCGCCTCGGTTCCAGGCTATGCCATTTGTCGCACGTATCTCTGCATATTTGCTTGACAAGATTGACTCGGAGCTACATATCCAGGTGACTAATGAGATGACAAGAGTTGCGCTGACGGCGAACTCGATGGATGATCTCCTGGGGTATGTCATGCAATATTTAAGCGGTACGATTCCTCATGGTGCGTATGGTGGTGTTATACGGATTATAAGCTCGCTTGGCGATAATTCCGGTGCTGGTCAGAGCAGCACTCAGGTACCTTATTTTTTTCTTAAAATAATAAATTCATTTATATTTAATATGTATTAAACACCCCTTAATGATTATTCAATTGACCATTCAGAGTGGAGATATTGGAGGGAGCAGCACACGTTCTCGTAACCGGGATAGAGATACTGCCGACGACGACGACTGATGAGGTTTATGAGGTTTTTTGTACATTTTTAATGCAATGAACAGCTTTATCTGTTATAACAATACATATATGCGTGTTGGATGTTATAACAATACTTATATGCGTGTTGGATTTGTTTATTATGCTGAAATTGATTATATTATGGCTGGATCTGTGCATTATGTTGGATTTGTATATTTTTGGGTTTGAATGGAATTGTCTAAAATCTTGATTATATTTGGATGGTTGGATGTATTCATATATATAGTATTTATTATATGTATTCATGTATTGGTGTAATTGTACAGGGAAATACAAATTGTAATATATATTTTTTTTTGCTGGAAAAAGAGCAATCTAGACGGAATTCCGTCTAGTATGAACCAAACTAGACGAAAATTCCGTCTAGGTTGTAATAATCAACCTAGACGGATTTCCGTCTAGGTTGGTTCAGTATAGACGGAATTCCGTCTAGGGTCAACCTAGACGGAATTCCGTCTAGGTTGACAACCTAGACGGTTTTCCGTCTAGGTTAACAACCTAGACGGAAATATAACTTCCGTCTAGGTTGGTTTCCGTCTAGATTGATCAATCTAGACGGAAATCCGTCTAGTTTGATCCAAACTAGACGGAAACAGAATAAACCAATCTACCTAGACGGATTTCCGTCTAGATGATCCAACCTAGACGGATTGTAGACCAACCTAGACGGAAATTTCCGTCTAGGTTGGTCGTTTTTCTACTAGTGATCAGTGCATGTTTGATCCGAATATTATATCTGGTATGATATTTTATTTGTGATATGGATCATTTTATTCTGAGTTGTTTATTATATTCTTGCTAACTGTGATCGGGGACTTGTGACTTCGCATTATATTGCTTGACGCTTGGCATATTAGATTGAGTAAAAAGGGTCTAGTACTTATTTATCCTTAGTCTGATACGCCACTGGCTTGTTCGCGTTCCGGTTCTCTGGTATTTTGTGAAGCGAAGCGTGACAAGGGGTTCCAGTGGTGGAGATCAAACGAGGAGGGGCTTCGGCTCCGGCGATCGAAGGAGGGAGATAGGGTTTGGAGGCGGTAGCGATGACAAGATGCTGGCAACGCAGAGGCAACAATAGCAACTCGAAGGCGACAGCGAGTCGGAGGCGGCAACAGTAACTCGGAGGACGAGATGTTAGGGCTTGGGTGAAAAAAAGACACGGGAACTCAAAACACTTTTTTGGTGTTTTGAGAAAACTGTTTATTTGTGGGATTTTTGTTGGGTCAGGTAAAAAAAACACCCTAGTTACCAAACACATTTTATTCTTTTTTTTGAAAAAAACAAAAACGACAAAAACACCCAATTGCCAAACGCTCCCAGAAATTAGCCCCTTAAATATTAGTATTCCCTCAAATATTAATTTATAGTTTAATTATAGTAGTCATAGTCATACAGTCAACGTAAGAGGGTATAGCCGAGTTGATAAGCTACCTATGAGTAGTGTGCTAAGGTCTTAGGTTCGATTCTCCTAAGGAGCTACTAACACAGAGAAAATGTGAAAGTCGACTATCCATTTATGGTTAGACTAAACTCAGTCAGGAGTTAGCGATTAAGATGAAGAAATAACTCATATCAGCATATTGAGGTGACGTAGGAGACTAATATCAAAATATATAGATTTTGGTGACTAATTTCAAAATCCTAATGATTTAAGGAACTACTGTTTATAAACCCAAAATTAATATAAAGATTTTGGGGACTAATTTTAAAATCGTAACGATTTAAGTAACTACTTTTTTAAAACCCTAAAAATTTTAAAATACTCTGGTTCCTAGTTGTTCCTAAACAACTAGCTTCATCCCTTCTTTCCTGGACAATTTTAGTCCCCACATACTTTCTAAAATAATGATTGTTATCTGCTAAGCCTATCAAACTAATTTGAGCTTCATATGACCCCATAAACTATCGCTTTTCTCTTTTAGACTCATTTGAAACACACATGAAGTAGTAAACACGAAGTGGCAGCTAGATATGATTTGATAGCTCATAGGGTAAATATTGACGAGGTAATGGTTTGGGGTTGGGACCTATGGAGCAAGCTGAGACAATAAAATAGTTCTGAGGACAAGCAGTGAATAAATTCAATAGTTTAGAGGGTATATAGGAACTAAAAATAGTTTAATGAGTAAGAAGAGACAACGATAGAGTCAGATACTTAAAGCTTTTTTTTGGGGGGTGGGGGGATTATCGAAAAAGTACATATTTTCCGCTTATTTATTAATTAATAAAATGGTTTCAAATCAAATTTAATTATTTGTTTCATTCAGATAAATTCGCAATATAACAGTACAAAACAATAAAGAAAGAAAAGCCAAATAAAATACCCCTTAAGAATCATGCCATGTGAAACTTCTCGAAATCAAATTCCTTTATATTTATATCGATGGTAAAACTTGTTGCAATATCCTTTTCAATGTAAACAAGTAAGTTGTTTACAACAAAGAGCTCTGCTACATGGACCCAAAATATGGGACCATTGGAAGGGACATGTGAGATGTCTCCCTCCTATTGCATAATGAGCAGGCATTGGAGGGGACAACTCACAGGTCCCCTTCCTTGGTACTAACCATTTGCGAATCCTTGTTTTATTTTTCTCAATTTTTACAGTTGAAAATGATTCGCTTCCCGATAATGGCATAAACAAGAAGTGGCAAAACAAACCAAAAATAACTTTTGCCTTTTCTGTACCTCGGCATAACTCAATATGGTCGACATATTTATCTGGAAGATTTACTTTCTTAGATTCAGTTTCAAACGCGAAGGCGAAAGGCGTCTAAACGTGATAGGCTTTTTTACTCCCATCGGTGGGGACCTTTTATTACCGGGACTCTGGCTATCGCGCTCATACGTCCCAGGGTTTTTGACTTTCGACGGGCGCTCGGCTCGGCGCTCGGGTCGTTGGAACCGGCCCGCTCGCCTTTGCTCTGGGATTACGGGCCCCGCATCGAATGAGTTTCGGGGGCTTTTGGGGGGCGTCCGAGGATAGCGGATCTCAGAAAAAAAGGAGGCAGTAAATAAAAAATCCTACCTACTAAAACCCCGTCGGCGTTTTCCCATCCTCCCCGCCTCAAATAACCGACCGATCCCTGAACCGGGACTCAGCAGCCCACCATGCCTTTAAAACCTTCCAAGGGAAACTCCCAGCCCCCTACCTCGTCTCCTCATTTCCTCGAACCCCAAAACAAAGCCCTAACCCTAAATCCCCAAACCCCCCAGATTCCCCCAAATCGAGTCGCAGGCCAAATCCACGGCGACTGTCCAGGAGCCAGACAGTCGCCGTCATGAGCCCCAGCCGCAAGCGCCATCCCGGACGCCGACGACGGACGACGCCCATCGCCATCCTCAACGCCTGTCATCGACTTCCGATCAAGCACGGCGGGCAGCGGCCCCGACCCCCACCACCATGAAGCCCGTCTTCGACGCCGTCAAGGGGTCGCTCCGCCGCGAGCTCACCTTCGACCAGCTCTACAACAAGTTCAGAACCCTGAAGCACCGGTACTACAGGACCGTGCAGTCCGGCGTGGGCCCCACGGAGTTCGACCGGGCCTTCTTCGACCTCTCGGTCCGCGCTTGGGGCGAGAAGAAGCCGAGGGAGGCCGAGCCGAAGGTCGAGAATCGGGATGATGGTGATCAGCAGGTTGAGGAAGAGGAGCAGGAGGAGGGGGAGGAGGAGGAGAAGGAGAATTATGATGATTACGATCCTGGTGATTCCTTCAAGTATTTGACCGATCAGATGACTAAGTACTTTAAAAGGGAGGGGCTTTCTTTGGCAATGTTGGAATTGGGATTGAAGCATATGGATAGATCAAAGGCGGCCGCTTTGGAGAAGAAATGGAGGGAGCACTTTCAAGAGGAGTTGAAGATCGAAGCTGAGTACTGTGATTTGAAAAGAGAACTTCTTGATGCTCTTGTTGCAGGCCAAAAGGGCGCGAATTCGTGAGGATTTCTTTTTCAGATTTGGTGAGTATTTGTTGTTACTTTTGCTTAAGAAGTTTGATTTTTTTTTTCGGTTTGTATTGGGGATATTTAAGTTTTTTCTCACTTAGTTTGAATTGAATTGGATTGGTGATAATTTATCTTGTTTTTGTTTAGTTAATTGTGCTCTTCTTTCAATCCATTCCGTGATCGCTGTTCAATATTTTGTTGGTATGTCACCTTTTTTTAGGAAAAGGAGGGTTTTAGGACATGTTATAAAAGTGAGAGATTGGAGGGAGATATACAAGAAGAGCAAAATTTAAACTTCCCAACCAAAGTGCATGATCCAATAGCATATTGAAAATTTTATGCGATTGTAGAGGATAAATGTGATTTGCCTCTAGTAGGCGCAACATCACTGATGTTTTGAGAAATCCATAGCTCAAGGATTTTATTCATGTTTAGTTCAAATTTAAATTTATGGTACTGTTTATTAACTGACATAGTATTGACTTGTTAGTTTAGCATATTCATGTGTATAATGACAATATTTAAACCGAAGCTAAATTAGCTAATTGGCTGACAGTTCTTTGATTTTTAAACATAAATAAACTTGTTGAGCCTGTGGCTACGCAAGCGGCCCTTAAGCTGTAATATTGGAATTGGTAGTGATGTTTGAGGCTATCTTTGTAATACTGTAATCGATAAGTCTTTGTTACTCTATATCTCTCCATATATATGGAGTGATGTTTGTGATTTGATATTTATTTAGCAAAATGAAGTTAAAAACGGTGAGGCCAGCAAAACCTGACGAGAGAAAGTATGGGAATCTTACCTCTTCTCATGATAACTCAATTTGTTTAATGAGTTATTGCCTCTTATAACGTTACCTATACATGTATGTGTGTGCGTGTGCATGTGCTTACCTGATTGTTGGCCTTGACTCGTCCTCCGTGAACAAACCTTGCAGAGGAATCACTAGGTTTTTCAAGGAATTGGATGTTTGCATTTTCATGGCTTCCACTTTGTCCATGCCTGGAGCATGTTATGTGATAGATGTGAGTTACTATAGTAAGATAGTAAAGTTAGATTCCATCCAGATATATATGGAAAAAGGGATATTTGGTGCCAGCTCATTTTGTTAAATGAGCTACCAAGACATAGACAAGTAATGAGGCATACCTTGTTACTCACATTGGAGCAAGTGGGCCTCTGACTCATTCTGTTAGTTAGTTACCATCTCAGTCCAATGCATACCAATGTAGAAATCAAACACTGTATGAGAACATATATATCAAACTTTATATATTTGAAGCTTTGTTCAATTTTTCAAAGATTATTTCTACTTGGCTGGCAATACATGAAGACTCTTAATTCATCTTTGGGAATCCATTATTGGAAGGAAGGAAACAAACTCTCACAACTCGGGGAGTCTCTTACACGCTCAAGTATGGTTATATGGATATGGAATGTAGGAGAGATGATTTTTCTTCTTTTTAGTGCAAACTCTAATGTATAGATTGCTTTATGGCAATTCCTCTCATTCCAAAAATATATTGTCGTTAACGGTTTCTCTAAGTGGCACGCAACTGCCATTATTGGGTGCACATGCTTTCCTAGGGCCCCACAAGTTTGCTAGTTTGTAATTTGTGTCATTTATTATTGTGGGGTTCTAGTTAATTACTTATGGCTACTAAAAAGGGTATTATTGAATATCTCAAGCAGGGTCTAACGAAATGAGAAAAACAAAATTTGGCATCGTAGAATGTGTGTCTAAGGCAAGTGTGGACTTCATATCAGACTGTTATGACAACCAGTCATATGGATGGGGTTTTCAGGACGTCTTTTAAAAAATGACCTCTACATTTGTATTATTACAAAAACAATAGAAACATACAGCAGAATTCAAACGAAAGCTTCCCTGAGCACTAACTCAAACAAATGAGTATGCAGGATGTCAATTTGATTTGACTGACCTTCAATTAGGACTCCTCTTTCTCCTTAGGTCCCAATGATGTAGCTTGGGTCATAATTAAGCTAAATTTGAGTTTAATGAAGCTCCAATAGCAGCGTGCATGTCCTGTGAGAATGAGCTAAAATGAGCTGAAATACGGCACACATATTCCATTACCCTGTGAGAATGAGCTAAACTCCTCTTAGACCCTAACATCCCTTCCTTAACTATTGGGTATCTCAGACTTTTTAGCAACATTTGATCGTGCTGCTAGGGTAATTTTTTAATAGAATACAGTATCTTTCTACAGATTTGAAAGCTTGTGGTGTCTTCTCTTATCAAAATAGCATGTGCCAGTTGTGTGCGTACATAAGATCATTGTTTTAAATATGTAGCCAATATATTGACTGATATATTCTTTTAAAAGGCTTGCTTCAAAACAATATGATCTTAACATCCTTTACCATTTTTTGCTTTTTTTTGGTGATAATATCCCTGACATGGCTAATATATTGGCCTACATGTTACTCGATATATTCTTCTATATAGCTTGTTGCAAAATAATATAGCTCTAAGAAATTTATGTTTTTTTTAGCAAAAGTTCCATCTCTATGAAAATTTGAGCAAAATTCTACTAGGCTCTTTTGCCTAAGAAAGTTTCTACAATTGGTTAGTAATCGGTAAACATATATTAGTCATAATATTGTATGCTTAGATTTTGTTAAGTATTTAGGTTAACATTTAAGGACATTATATTATATACACACATCATCGGATGCGGCACTTCGATATTACTAGTTATCCTCGATATTTCCTTGATATCCACAATCCGATATGGATTTTAGCTGTCCAATGTTCCCCCGAGATCCGATATGTAAAACCTCGCATAAGATATGTTGTTGCATTTCTGCGAAAATCTGCTTACAATTAAATGAGCCCTACTTTAATTATAGGGAAATTTTTAGAAAACTAACAGTACACCCACCAAAGGCCAAGTTTTTATATAAGAAGTGCATGTGCTATCGAGGTGCAAGGTGCAATGTGGGGCGTAAAATTCCCTTACGTGCACAAGGCGCAATGCGATGCGCGCGCCTCACTGAAGCAAGGTGCATTGGAGTTACTAAAACAAAATACATTTAAAGAGTAAAGCACAACAAAAATAAAAGGGTAAAGCACTGAAGTTACTAAAATAAAGTTACCAACTTACTGTTAAGTTATAAAATTTAAGTTTGTTCTTAACAAAAAATTTATATGCTACTGTATCTGCTTAATTAGAGAATTAATGAACTTAAGCTACTGTATCTTCTTAATTAGATAATTAGTGAACTTAATAGTCAAACAAAATTTACTAACAGTAAAATTAATTCAACTAATAGGAAAATTAATTCAACCAAATCAATCAAATATCCCGGAGCCTATCCCGCCGCTGTCGGTCCTCCTCACAGGTAAAATTTTTATTTTTTTATTTTTAAACTGTTCTTTGACTTATTTACTGTTTTAGCACTTATAACTATTTTTAAACTTTAAATAGTTAATTTTGTTCAAATTAGTTTGCGATATTATTTACTATTGCGATGACTTGTTATGTTGGACATGGTGATATTTCTTAGTATTTAGTTACTAATTTTGGCTATTTAGCATTTATGCATGGTTGATTATGGATCTAAGCTTGTTATTTAATTTTTTTGCGATTTTATATGAATTTAACACATATTTTTGTGAATTATTATAATTAAATAAATTAAAAAATAGGCAAATGCCTAGGCGCCGCCTAGGTGCTAGGCCCTGGCTCGAACGCCTAGTCCGCATAGCGCCTTCTATAACATTGGTTGTATTATGTGCTATCTCTATGCTAAATGTTGAATCATAAATGTTTGTAAGATCTCTAAATGCTGATATAAAGATTATGTTCGTAAGATCTCTACAGTAGAAATTTTGATGTAGTATGCGATGGAAAGAAGAAAAGGGATCAAGGAACTTGCTGATATTATACAATGATGTATATTTGTATATTGTGAAAATAGAAAGTGAAAATTATGACGGTAAGTTGTATAATATCAGCAAGTTCCTTGATCCCTTTACACTAAGTGTCTTTTTCTAGAATACTGAACTGTTAGTTGTATTATGTGCTATCTCTGTGCTAAATATTGAATCATATATCTAGTACATCATTCGTTAAAGAACTATACCGTCTAAGCTGTTGCTTCTTGTCAGATTTGCACTTATTGGAAAATAGAGGGTGATGGCATCTTAACTATGTGGCTGAGTTACATACTTATTTGTAAAATATTCATATATTAACATGCCGTGCATGTTGTTGGTTGATGTTGTGGGCATTGACTTGAAACTGTTCAATGTATATATTTTTCTATGCTGGTCAATCATAGTTTTCCCTCATATATGATCCTGAATACTGTTTTTTTCTTCGATGATGGATGTTTTCAAGTTTCAGAAAGTGTTTCTGTTCTGCCTCATTCGAGTGTCTTGGTCGTTCGTCTTTTTTGTTACTATTATTCAAATATTTACCTCTTTGATATTCAAACTTAACTAAAGTTTACTATTGGATAATGTCCAAAACGAGACTCCAAACGACGAAGGAGAATCTTATCAGAAAGGGGTGGATGGGGGGATCCAATCTTTTCCCTTTGTGATAATGATTCAGATACTGCAGATCATCTTTTCTTACGTTGCTCTTATAGTCAGGAAAGTATGGAATCTCTTTAAATATATATTGCCGGTTGATAACTTATGAGAGCGTATCCAGGAACTCTTTGCCTCAAATGGCAGTTTCAAGTAAACTATGGGGGATTTTCTTTTCTGCTTTCTGTTGGCCTGTCTGCAAAGCAAGACGCGATCTGATTTTTCAATGAAGAGAAAACTGAACCTTGTATGTTGGCATCTAAAATCGCACATTTTTCATCTTCTGCGCAGGGAATTCAAGTAGGGTATGAGCTGCGAAGCTGAAGACCGTTGCTGAAGAGAAGGGCTGAATCCAATCATCCAGATTGAAGACGAAGGTGTTGGTGGGAACTTCTGTATTTCCTTGTTTTTGGTTGTAGTACATATACTGTTGAAATTGTTTTTGAGACACTTTTTAGTTTTATTTTGGGCGCCATGAGCTGGGGGCCTATCAGCTCATGAAACAATTGTTACCTTGGTTGTGTTTGCTTCCTCGGTTTTTCATGCGATGGCCATCTCATGTTTCAATGAATATTGTTTTCAACGTGAAGCGTTGAAGAGTGGCGGCTAGGTGCTCTGCCCTCCCTCTTTTCGTTTGAAAACTCAATTCATTCGGCACTGAGGAAGCCTCCGCATATCCTAGTGAGCGCCTCTTATCTTCTATGAAAGTTTTCGAATATGGGGTCTCCCCCTATTTTTAACCCAAAATAATAATAATAATAATCATATTCCCTTTAAAAGTACGAGCTCAAGAAAATCTTTTCATGGTTAGCATTATCCTTAACTTTTTTAAATATTACATTGTTATCCTAATATATTCTATTTATCTTATCTTCTTTGAATTAGTAACTAAATGATTTATCGTATTTAAAATGAGATTTAACATGTTATTGGATAAAGAAAATATGTTTGATATAATGCAAATCCTTTACTTATTTCAGATCACAGAGAAATCTAAAAAACATATGCTAGCCAGCACCTAAAATTTTTGGACTTTGTAAAAAAAAAATCCTCCAAGTTTTTTAAATTGCAAAAACCCCCCCTACAGATTTAAAATTTTATTAAAACATCTTGAAATTTATAAAATTTACTTATTTCAATTCAATAAGAAATCTAAAAAATATATGCTAGCTAGAAACTAAAAGTTTTTTGATTTTGAAGAAAATATCTTGTAAGTTTTAAAAATTGCAAGATACCCTTAAAAATTCAAAATTTATAAAAAACACCTTCAAAATTTTAAACTTATAAACACAATAAAAACCTACAAATAACACAAACAACCCCCAAAAATTTATGAAATTTATAATAAACACTCTGAACTATTTATAAATTGCAAAATAAAACTCTCAAAATTGTAAATTTATAAAAATTCTGATAATTTCTAACCTAATAGTACATTGAAAATATAGGAATTATAAATATCTCTTACATAATTTATAATTTAAAGAAAACACCCTTGAAGTTTCAAAAATTACAAGCAAAACCTTAAAATTCAAAATTTATAAATAACACCCTCAGAATTTCAAACTTATTAGTAAATTGAAAGCATAGGAATTATAAATAGTCTATAAATAATTTACAATCGGTAGAAAAGGCTTATAAGTTTAAAATTTTATAAAAAGCCCCTAAATTTTATAATTTATAATAAAATACCATGAGAAATTCTAACCTATGGACACAAAAATGTATATACAAAATTACTAACAACCCCTAGAAAACTAAATTTTACAAAAATATCATGCTCACTTTAAACGTATAGATTTAGGAAAAACCTTTCATGGTCAAAATTACCCGTAACTTTTTTGAAAAGAACATAAATGATTGAATTTAAATTTACAGAAAAAACACCCTTAAAGTTTAGCACATTGCAAATTACCTCTCCAAAGTTTAAAAATTTTCAATGATTTTTTATAATTTCTTAATTTCAACATAATGTTTAATAGTTTTGTGTATTTGTAAATTATAAAATTTTAGGGTGTTTTTTTATAATTTTTAAAAAAATTTAGGGTGTTTCTTTTGTAGTTTTCTAAATTTTTATTGTGTTTTCAGTGTAATGCATAAATACATCAATTAATGATGATATTAAAGAGTAAGTTGTTCTTAAGATTATTAGGCTATAATTAAGTGTACAATACATCACTGTTCCTAGACAGTGTAATTTAAATATGCCAAAAATTCATATAAAAATTCCTTTACGAATTGAATGGTCACCCATCTTTTGAAAACTTCAAGATACTAATAAATAGAGATATTGTGCTATATTAATGTATTTATAACTCATAAATAATAGACCAGTCTGGATTGAAAGAAACAATAACGATAAGGTTACTAGACTATAGTTAAGTACGCACATCATTATTCCTGGGCAATATAGTTTATATATGTAAAACATTTCAGATAATATATATAGTGGTTAAAAAGTTTTTGATTTAATGTACTATTTTTTATAAATTATATTTAATATGAATCTACCATATAATTTTGACTGTGGTCATCATAAATTTAATACGTTTGATTGATTGACTATAAACTTATATAGATCATAGATTACTTTACTTTCTCACATGAGCTAATATTTGGTACTTAATAATTTAAATTATTACTTTGAAATTTAATATAAAGAGGAGCTCTAATAACATTTATTTATTTACCTACATCATAATACAATCTTAATTTTTATTTTTGTTGGAGATTTATTTCATAGTTAAGTGTATCAAATTAGTAACTAAAATAATAATTAATTATGCTTAAATTAGGATGATTATAGTTGGTCACTCACTATGAAGTTTTTATGAATATATATACATTACTTTTTATAGCTATCTGCACTGTCCATGTATAATTTACAAATTACTTCTTAATTTGACATATAAAATTACTTTTTCTTTGTAAAAATTTCTTCTTTGACTTTTAGACTCTGTAATCACTATATCACCATTTTAGAGTAGAAAGGACCTCACTCTAAATGACTTCAAGCCAATATTTGAGTTGAACTGTAGTACATACTTTTGCTACTATGTGTATATATTTTTTAAGAAAATTATATCAACACTTTTTAAGTAGAAGAGAATATTCTACCCTCTGATATTATAAAAACTAAATATAACCAATTGAGTGATTAGCAAAAGAGAACTTACATCAGAAAAGTGTGAATAATAAGATAAAAAAAAGGTAATAACATTGACAACAATACTACAAATAACAAATTATAATATAAAGTTAACATATTTTGTGAAGCCCAACTACTCACTATAAGCATTGAGTTTTCTATATATACTTTATAATTTATTTAAAAATGTCATATATAGTAATATCGCTGTAATAGTATCGTTATTAGAAAAATTTCTTCATGAATCAATATTCTATATTCTATAGGGAGATATGTCACTATATTTTCTATATTCTATAGGGAAACGAGTGATTGGAACACAATGAAATGTTGGTGCATTGCGATAAGATCATGTTTAGCACGAGCTAAAAAACTAGTTTAATAGAAATAGAAGCTCCGATAAGATTTATTTATTTATATATAGGATGTTATCATATCAATTCTAATATTTTACTTCATATTAATTCCATAGCTACATGTATCAGGTTAGTAACACCTTATTTGGATGGAGGTTAATAACTGGAAGTTAAAGTGAAATTTTAATTTCACCTTGTTTTTGTGAGTTTTTTTTTTTGAGGGGTTAGAGGATGGAATAGAAGGTTAAAATTTCTTCCATTTTCCTTCCCTCCAATTTGGTGGGGTAGAGGATGAAATGAAAACCAATGCAAAATTTTATAATGTGATAAGACGATTATACCCTTATGACATTAAAATCAATGACCAAGATATACTCTCATTTAATAGGTAAGGGTATTTATGTAACTTTATACATATTCACTTCACTTCCCTCCTCTTTATTAGAACTCCCAAATAAGGTAAAACAAATTTACTTTCGTTCCCCTTACTAAACTCACAACCATCATTTTATCTTTTCACTTCCATTCTCTACCTTTCCTTTCCATTATTTAAATTTCCTTTCCTTTCCTTGGTAAACTTCCAAACAAAGCATAACTAAATTAATAATTTATATGCTGCAATTATGATGAGTGTAATTAGTGCCTACTAGTGAATTTCCATGAATAATATCCTATTTTCTCCTACTATTTTGCACTTCCCTTGTATATTTGTAAATTAATCACTAATATCTTCACATAAAGTTTTTTAGGAATTTTATTTTTGTTTAGAAATATTTTATACTCATATTGAAGATAATATTAGTTTTATGCATTAGTAATTAGCAATATTTTCATGTATAGTTTTTATTTTTCTTAAACTGATTAAAAAAGTGAAAAAAAACATGTTTTAATTAGTTTATTTGCAAGTAGTCTACATGGTTTTGATCAGGGGGCATTTGTTAGTTTGTAAGATATACAAAGATCTGCAACAAAGGAGATAGAAATTTTAGATGGGTTTATATATAGGGTTTGTGAGCTTTCCTAATGTGAATCTTTCTTATCATCAATAAGTAGGTATATAAAAAAAATTGATCTTATTTAGAGCAACATATTATATGGTAACTGTGAAAGACATAAAATCAAAATAAAAATCAGTGCGATTAATAAATAGGAGTTTTTCTATTTAGGACCATCCAAAACATAGTAGTTTTTTCGGTGAACCACCACAAAATTTTCTTGTTTGTAAAACCACATTGAAAATACGAACCATTAACAAAGTGCCACCACACTATAGTTTTCATCCTTATTCTATTAAATAACATGCTAAATTTCTAAAATACCCTTTAAGGTGGAATCCACCAATCTTTTATTATATTTTCACACCCTAACAAAATACCTTATCTCCCTCCAAAACTTAGTTAACTTCCTCAAAAATTTGTAATTCTCTATAAACACCCACCAATCACCCCCTTCAATTTTTTATACACAATGGACATTTAGTTCATTTTACACCCTTACTTAACAAAATAGTGGATGCAGTTTTGCTTGCTTCCAGCCAGGAAGGCACATAAGCTATTGGACGGATTCAATTGATGGAAGCTCTTGGTATCCTGCAGGAGGTACAAATTGCGAAGAATGGAGGCGATCGAAGGGTCATAACAGTGTTTGATGCTTTGGAGGTTGTTCAAGAGTTGAAAGTGACACCACGAAATTTAATTCAACTGGGTGGAATGCACGTGCAATGCACGTGCAATGCACGTGATCAAATATTATAATTGTTAATTTTTAATTTATGTATTTACTATAATATAGTTGTAAAAATGTTAATGATTATTGTAATGTATTAAAAAGTTTCAGATATAAAATCTTGTTGGTTTTAACATTTTACCTTCAACATAATTAGTGAGGTTTAAAGTCTTAAAATATTAATGACCAGAGAGCAATTTAATGATTTGAAATTCTAATTTTAAAATATTAATGATGTAAGCACCAATATCTTAAAAACTATTATTATTAATGAAAAATAAATCTTGGATTCATCAACGTAAAATAGTAGGTAT